CATCTAAAGCCACAAGAATATACATGGCAGAGAGAAAAGTTGGGCCTAAATTGAGCCCTGAGAGAATCTAGAATATAGATAATTGGTAGAGAAGGAGCAACCAAGTAAGCAGGCTTAGGAAGGGTGGCCAATGACAGGCAAAAATGGGGAAAAAATACAGGAGTTTTCTGTTTGAGGGAAAAATTAGGGAAAACATTGGTATGACAGAAGAGAAAAAGCATTGTAAACAGAGGAAGGGTTCAGCTGTGTTAAGAACTTGGTGGCATTCGGAGTAAGACAAAGACAAAATCGTGTGTATTGAATTTGTCAGTGTGAAGATCATACAAAGGGTAACTAAGTCCCCTAGTTTTCCTGGGATAACCCTAGTTTATGTCCCATGCCCTCATGTAGTTAGTTTCTAGAATAGTAGTTACCATAATATAGTATCTACTTTCACTTTCAAAATATCCTCATTTGGATGATAGTTTTTATGGTCATACTAGTTATCAGTGACTAAAGCAGGAGCAGTTTCAGTGAAGGGATGGAGGTAGAAGTCAGATTATAATGGATCGTAGATGGAATGAGAACATATGAAGTAAATATAATGCATGTGCAATAATTGTGATAAAGTTGTATTATGAAGAACAGAAGAAACATGGGAAATAATTAGAAGGGTAACTGGATCTTATGTGCTTTCAAAAATGAACTATAAAATCACTCAGAAAGATTCTTCTAGAAAACTGAGCAATTTCCAAATCAAATTCATCTGTGTCATAAATTCTCAGAGTGAATAGCAGTATGATTTAAGAAAAAGACCTTCAGGCGAGGTACAATAATTAAACACTCCAGAGAGTGTTGCATAACAGTGAAGGGTTGCCCTGGTTTAGAGTCAGAAATGGAACTCTCCAGAACCAAAAGCAAAGGGGCATGCAGTATCTTTATACAAGAGGATAGAGTGCAATAAGCTGATAGAGTGGTAACTAATATACCAGATCCTATACCAGATCCTATACCAGATCCTAACACCTATAACCTGAAAATTTTACTTTATATGGAATGGAAAAGGGTCTTTGCCCATGTGATTAATTTAAGGATTTTGAGATGGGGAGATTATTTTAGATTATTTGGATGGGCTCTAAATGCAATCACAAGTGTCCCTATAAAGGAAACAGAAGTTTAGACACAGAAACAGAGGAGGAGGAAACAATGTGACCACAGAGGCAGAAATTGCAATGATGTAGCCACAAACCAGGAAATGTTGGCAGCCACTAAAAGCTGGAATCTGTAGAGAACGGATTCTCCCCTAGCGGCTTTGGAGGGACTGCATGCCTGCCAACACCTGGATTGCAATCGCCATTTCAGACTCTGGTTTGCAGAACTGTGGGTGAATACATTTCTGTTGTTTTAAGCTGCTAACTTTGTGGTAACTTGTTATTGTAGCTAGAAGAAATTGATATGATAGGACTGAGTAAAGCTCAGTCCACGCAAGACCATGAAGTCTAAAATGCAACAAATAAATTTTTGAAAAGACAAATGCCAAGTCCAAAGAGATTAGAGGAGATATCTTGGTGGAGAAAAGGAGATGGAGTCTAGAGTTTCAATGTTACCACACAGGTTGGGTTTACTGTATAAAAGTAGGGTGTAAATGAGGGTCCTTGACGATCGTCCAGAAGATCAGCTCACAGTTATGGTGGATTTTATGGACCTTCCAGGTTCAGCAACTGGGAAGATGAATCTGGAATGAGATCCCAGTCAAAAGCATTAACTTCAGGGTTGTTGGCCACGGGGCTTTGAATAGGTGCCTAATTTCTCTGGGTTTGATTTTGTTTGATTTCCCTCTATTTTTATCTATAACACACGGGTAATAATATCTGACTTGCTTACCTCACAGATTTCCTATGTGCATCAAATCAGATACTAGACATAAAAACATTTTATTTTTATGAAGTGTTATTTTATAACTTGCAAAGCTCCAATGGTATTAATTTTCAATACTTGTACTCAGAAAACTGTGACCTACTCAGCCTTCAAGACCTAAAACATAAGTGAGTGGAGGCATCTGCAAAGTATTTTACCAGAAATCCTATACCTGATTAGGGTCCAAAGCCTTCCCTAAGGTTTCTGTGGACTTCCAGAGGGGTGGAGTGGGAAATGTCAGCTCAGGCACTTGCTGACATGCAGCCAGATTCTGTTGGCTAATCTCATTGACGCAACTATTTTTTCATTAAAAACAAAACAAAACAAAAAAATAGAAATATAGGCAGCAGACTTTACTTGAGATTGGGTTGAAGACAGGAACAGAAAGGGTGGAAGAAAGGGTTTTACCTTAGTTGTAGAAATGCAAACATTCCAACGTAATTTTCTTCAGCCATTTTCTCAGAAGGAAATTTCCACTGACCCAGAAATCATGCAGTCCGTGTCCTTACACATCTCCCAGACTCCTCTCTTTCCCTTCTCATCTTTGTCTCTCTGTTCTGTTCTGTTCTGTTCGAGTCCTTACTTCCAAGAGAAGAAATACAAATCCCTCTTATTCTTTCCTTTAGGGAATTATCACTGTCTTTTGTTGTTCAGCCTATTGTTGACAGAACTTCAGACTACCTCCTAACCCAAACAGTTAGTTAAGGTTCTATGTCCCTAAAGACCATTTCCTGTATAGAAGGAATTCTGAAGCCAGCTGTTATAATATAGTGCTTACCCCACAATATGGTAAAATAAAATGGAAACTTTACCCCAGTTTTCTTGCATTTATCTAAGTGCGAGGGAAGAATTCTAGGCCAGACTTCAGAGCAAGAAACAATATTTGCTCTTCCTCTGGATTATCTTGGATCAAAGTGGGACCCTCCTTGAAGCTGAAGTTATGAAAGGTGATTCCTTTCAAACTTTTTACCCTTCTCAAATGTATTTTGTAGACCAAAGGCCTCTTCATTATGAGCATGCACAGAGAAGTCAAACTGACTGAATGAACGAATCTATGGAATGAATGAATGGATTTAATTTAATTTGTTGTTTCATTGACTATGAAAAATAAAGTACTGTATAAAATTAAGAGCCGGGGCGCCTGGGTGGCGCAGTCGGTTAAGCGTCCGACTTCAGCCAGGTCACGATCTCGTGGTCCGTGAGTTCGAGCCCCGCGTCGGGCTCTGGGCTGATGGCTCGGAGCCTGGAGCCTGTTTCCGATTCTGTGTCTCCCTCTCTCTCTGCCCCTCCCCCGTTCATGCTCTGTCTCTCTCTGTCCCCAAAATAAATAAAAACGTTGAAAAAAAATTTTTTGAAAAAAAATAAAATTAAGAGCCAAATATTTTTTTAAATAACATAATTAACATATTTATCAATGTTGGGTAGAACTCTTGTTCAATTCTATCTGATTTACATTCAATAGTAAAGTTTCCTCAATTTGAGCTTTTTCTCAATGTTTCACAAGAGTTTGACTTATGCCGATAATAAATTCAATAATATAATAAACACTAATGAAATTAAACACCTTATATGTACAACATGCTATATTAAGAACCTTATATACTTTATCTCATTTACTATGCAAAACAACACTCTGATGTCTGAAACACTATTATTGCTACTTTATTGATGAGAAAATTGAAACTAGGGTAATGATGTATCTTGCCGTAAGTCATCTATTTAGTGAAAAGCTGGGTCTTTTTTTTTTTTTTTTTAATTTTTTTTTCCAACGTTTATTTATTTTTGGGACAGAGAGAGACAGAGCATGAACGGGCGAGGGGCAGAGAGAGAGGGAGACACAGAATTGGAAACAGGCTCCAGGCTCTGAGCCATCAGCCCAGAGCCCGACGCGGGCTCGAACTCACGGACTGTGAGATCGTGACCTGGTTGAAGTCGGACGCTTAACCGACTGCGCCACCCAGGCACCCCAAAAGCTGGGTCTTAAACACACTTCTGTCAGCTCTAAAATATGTGCTTTTTATCACCAAATTGAATACCATTCAATGGCTAGTTCTAAGAAATTCCTTAATGAAGCGTTTCATAAACTGTAGTGATTGTAAAATCTACCTGGAGCTCTTGTTAAAATAATAAATCCTAGAGCCCTGTTCTAGAGATACTGATTCAGTTGGTCTGGGTTAAGTCTGAGAGTCTGTAACTTTAACCACCTCCCCAGTTGATTTCTATTCTCATATCACATATTAATAAGAACTCTGCTTCTCTCAATAGAAAATCCAATATGAACTCCTAACTTAAATTTTAAAAAAGAAAGCATATTGGCTTAGATACCTGAACAACTTAGGGTAGACTAACTTTAGACACGTCTCTATTGTCAGATTGTACCAATAGTTCCATAATTGACTCTTCTTGGTCCTGGCCTTCAATCCTATAGGTCCATTCCTGAACCAAGCATTGTGATCAAGTGGATAGAATTTGCTCTTTTCTTAATACTGTTTATTTACTCCTTCTTCAAGGCCCGGGGGGGGAGGGGGTGTCAATTGAAGCCCATGAAGTGAGAGAGAATAAGGGAGGGTACAATTGATCGCTATCAGAAGGAAGAAGTGGATGCTAGGTGGCAAAAATAAATGTACACTAGATTTCCCTAGTAGAATTAAAAGTTATAAGAATAGACTGTCAACTGCTTTAAGAAACTATCAAAATCATATGACTGGAAAGTTTTCCTTATCATAGCCAGGGTATCTTAATCGCTAAGGTTTTGTCCTCCAAACCTGTACATTCAGACAGATTACAACAAAGCCATCAGCAAGATTCATAGCATCTTCATGTCTGAAGGAGATGAACTTATTGTATTATCCAATGCAGGGAGAAAGGAAATTGACCAAAATATGTCCTCTCATTTTGCAAAACAAGTCTGTCTCAACTCTTTTTTGCTTAAATAGTAAAAAAATAATAATAATCCTATATTTTGGGAGTAAAGTTTACTGGATTCATGTTAAATTATAAAGCCAATTTTTTGGATATTCATATCTTGGAGTTTTTTGCTTCAGTGTGAAGAAGGAAAATGTTTACTAAATTAAGATAAAATAGCTTTACTGCCTATTTGCAATTCTTGTTTAAAATTGGATATACTTTATCACTGAATATTTCCCAAAATATAACTTGATAACCATCTGGATTCAGTGCTTTCTTCCTGATACTTTTGTAGATAAATGGCTTCTTAATGACTCTTTTAATCCCAAAGGATGTATTAGACTCCAAAATTTCATGTTTAGATAACCCAAAAAGAACCCATCTGATTTCTGCAGCTTCTTTACCTATAACTGCATTTCAAAGCTTTAGGGATATCAGAGTATTTTTCTCAGAAGTTCTGAATCCCGAGAAAAACCATAGCCAATATTATTGTTCTTCATTATTGTATATATGATATATATTGCTCTCCTTTATTGTTCTCGTCTTCTTTTTGAAATGGCTGTTGTCTCATCTGTTTCTTGTTCTTCAACTCTACTTTGTACCTGTGGAGGTACAGAAAACACTGAAGAAATAATAATTTTCACATATTGAAGAAAGCTATTGAATAATATTTTGCTTCAAGTCATAAAGAAAGCAGATCTAGAATACAGTTCTCTAAAGACATCTCAAGATTTCTTATATAAGACAACATCTTACATTAATTTTCTCTATAAATGTCTTATTTTTATTAGCTTTTAATTTTTAATGTTTATTTATTTATTGAGAGAGAGAGAGAGACAGAGAAAGAGAATGTGTGTGAGTGGGAGAGGGGCAGAGAGAGAGGGAGAGAGAGAATCCCAAAGAGGCTCTGTGCTGTCAGCACAGAGTCCGATGCAGGGCTTGAACCCCCAAACTGTGAGATCGTGATTTGAGCCAAAATCAAAAGTTGGATGCTTCTTTTGGGATGAGCACTGGGTGTTGTATGGAAACCAATTTGACAATAAATTTCATATATTAAAAAAAAAAAAAAGAGAGTTGGATGCTTAACTGACTGAGCCAACCTGGCACCCCTCCATAAGCATCTTTTGAGATAGGCATTTAATTCAATGTAGATAAGTGTGATTTAAAGGATAGTAGCTAAGACTATGCTACAAACATGAGTTATAAATAACTATAAATATCTATGGATATGTAAAGCACCCCAGTTAAATAATTTTCCTTCCTTTCTAGCTTATATTTTAATGTTAATACTAGATGAAGGAGTGAATAGAAAGACTGTTTCAGGTGATTACTTTGAACACAGATGAACCTCAGAGTTTAAGCCACTAAAAAAAGGGCCCCTGAACATGTTTCTTTATGTGTAAAAGTTGGAAAATGACAGCTATTTGCTTCTTTTGAACTTTAGATCTATAAATGTGCCCACACCTCAGAATACTCATTCCACACTTTCTAAACATCTTTCAGTTTTGCTCCTTCTGATACTGACAAATACTGCATCTTAATACAGAATTACACAAAATAATTCTATCATCCAAATATGAAAAAAGAAATGAGAAAAGTAAAACTTATCTCCTCAAAACACAAAAATTAAAGGACCATAAAATGGAATAAATAGGAAGTGACTTTGAGCTCTTCTAGAGCAATCTTCAAGAATGTATGAAATTTGGGTAAAATAGGTAAAGGGGTTTAAGAGTACACATACTGATGAGCACTGAGAAATGTATAGAATTGTTGAAGCATCGTATTGTACACCTAAAATTAATATAACACTATGTTAACTACACTTTAAGAAAAAATAAATTAATCTGAGGTTTAAAAAATCATTAAATTAAATTTTATGTTTATTTTTTTTTTAATGTTTGTTTTTAGAGAGAGACAGAGCCTGAGTAGGGGAGGGGCAGAGAGAGGGAGACACAGAATCTGAAACGGGCTCCAGGCTCTGAGCTGTCAGCACAGATTCCCATGCGGGGCTCAGACTCAAGAACTGTGACATCATGACCTGAGCCACCCAGGGGCCCCAATGTTTATTTTTGAGAGAGAGAGAGAGAGAGAGAGAGAGGCGGAGTGAGAGCTGGGGAGGGGCAGAGAGAGAGGGAGACACAGAATCTGAAGCAGTCTCCAGGCTCTGAGCTGTCAAAACAGAGCCCAATGCGGAGCTCGAATCCACAAACCGTGAGATCATGACCTGAGCTAAAGTCGGACCCTTAACCTATGAGCCACCCAGGTGCCCCGAATTTAATTTAATTAAAAAAAAAGAATGTCCAACATGTGATTAGAATGCTAAGGCTTCTAGTAGTATAATGGTATCTCTTTCAGTTTCTAGGGACTAAAGCTGAACCTGAATAAAAATGGGAAGTTTATTGGTTCATATAATCAAACTACAAAAGCATTAGCAACCACATATACAAACCAGGCACAAAAAGTGCTCCCCCAAATTAGCCATTCCAACAAGACTGGACTACATCTGCAGCTGCTATTGGACTGCACCCTAGGAGGCTTGCACCAGCTGTAGCTAAGAATCTGCGGGAAGAGCTCTTTGATCTACTTTGAGGAATGTGCTTTTACTTGGACCGAGCACTGTGGGCAGGTGGCCTCGTCTGGGCCAAGTGACCACACCTGTGCCTGGGGAGAAGGCCTTGTGGCTTGGCACCTGCAACCAAAGAAACATGGGCAGGCGGGGTCACTGATGAGGGGAGGAAGGAGAAACCGCGTGAAGGGACAGAGAGGTGCCCTTTCTACAACACTCTCTTTCTCCAAGACAGTCCTCTTTCTAGAAGCAAGTGTTCTGGAGTAGAAAAATTCAACACTGGGGCGCCTGGGTGGCGCAGTCGGTTAAGCGTCCGACTTCAGCCAGGTCACGATCTCACGGTCCGTGAGTTCGAGCCCCGCGTCAGGCTCTGGGCTGATGGCTCGGAGCCTGGAGCCTGCTTCCGATTCTGTGTCTCCCTCTCTTTCTGCCCCTCCCCCGTTCATGCTCTGTCTCTCTCTGTCCCAAAAATAAATAAAAACGTTGAAAAATTCAACACTGTCCACTTCAGCATTCTACATATAAAGTCTAATTTAGACTAGAAAAATACCTAAATAAATTGTGAAAATAAATGAGAAAAAATCATAAAACATAGATTTGTGTGTTGAACCACACATTTAATATAAAGGAGAGAGAAAATGTTTCCATTTAGAATTTATTTTTCTGCATCATGGAAGTGACAAAGGGGTCTTAAACAGGGAAATGTGTCCGGAAGAGGTCCTTTTGTTTTTCTAGTAAATTTCCCTGTTAGGGGTTGGCATTCCCCAGAGTGTAAAGAACAATCAAATTTCATTCAAAATGAGAATCAACTGTCAGGAAAAAATAAAAAATTTATTGATGCTTTGTGTTCATGAATTTTTCTTCAGTATTTGAATGGTAAATGCCAGTAGAGGAACAGTTTGATTTCAGAATTTCCAGTCATTGCATGTAGGCTACTACCAAAAGTGCTGTATTCACTATTCTAACCCCATGAGCCTTTCTTTTTTTTTTTTTTTTAATTTTTTTTTCAACATTTATTTTTCGGGCAGAGAGAGACGGAGCATGAACGGGGGAGGGGCAGAGAGAGAGGGAGACACAGAATCGGAAACAGGCTCCAGGCTCTGAGCCATCAGCCCAGAGCCTGATGCGGGGCTCAAACTCACAGACCGCGAGATCGTGACCTGGCTGAAGTCGGACGCTTAACCGACTGCGCCACCCAGGCGCCCCCATGAGCCTTTCGACATAACATCCTTTGGGGAATTCATTCCTGATTATCCACTGTGTGCTCTGGGAATGCTTGATTACCTGAGACAGACACTGTCCTGAATGCATGGAGCTTCTGTTTACTGGGCCCAGACTTAGAGTCATGGAGGGCATCTCAGAAAATGTTACATGTAAACCGAAACTATATGATGAGTTCTGTGTTAAACAGCTTTATCTCGCATAGGAGACGAAAGGGATACTGAAACATGTAACTATTTGTCACTTTGGCAAATTTTCAGTACTAGGTTTGAGTTGGCTTAAGAGGAAAGCATGATAACACACATAGGGCACCATTTCTATACTCTTCATCCTCTAAATGTGGCTTTCTAAGAGAAGGGTACTTGAGACATGTCCATTCATTTAACAAGCATTTGTTCAACCTCCAACATGAGACCCATATATATGGCACTTATGAATGAAGCTTGGTTTATCTGATCAGGATTTCCTAGAGCAAAATGCTGTTTGGTTCAAGATGGAAATAAAATATGGTGACTATTGCTGACAGTGCATTCATTCACTTAATATTTGTTGAGCAGCTTCTCTGTGTGAGGCACCACAGGAAGCAGTGGGAACACTACCATAATCTTAGCAATCATAGTAACAGCAGTAACAGGCATTTCAGAAGCATTACATTGAGTGCCAGGTATTTCATTCAATAATTTGGGCAAGTTACTTAGCCCACCTCCCTTCTCCATAAAATGCAGACAATAACCCCTGCTTACCAGGTGGGTTTATTGCAAGGATCTCTTTAAAAAAAAAAAAACACAAAAAACCACAACAATTTTCAAGCTATAAAATGCTATACACATCACGGGTGTGTTACTGTTATTTTCAATATACCATTTTATACCTCTGAAGTATTTAATTTTTCTTCCCTTTCTTCTGCATGGTGCTTGTTCATAGAAGGTCAATCTTCTATCCCTTCGTGAAGCAAAAGGTTCCCCAACCATTCTCCTCACAGTAGCTCATTCTGATCTTCCAGCTTTATCAGCCCTACTTAGCCTATCACACTAGTAACCTGCATCATGGGATTTGAGTAACCGTGTGCTCCAGCCTCTTGCCTTCTGTTAAGTGAATGTGTGCCAAGTTACTCAGGCAGAACTTCCCTGTGGGGTCACATATACAGTGTGAAGAGGGAAAGGGCTCAGCCAACGCCAGGAAGAAAAGCAAGTAAACATAGGGCTCTGTTAAATATCCTGTTAACTTTGTTGATAGGGCCCTACTTGACCTTTCCATGGCTGTGTCTCCCTGTGCCCCCTCAGCCGACATAAAGGCTGCTGGGTCTCCCAACGACTCTGACCACCTGTGCACTGTAGGCTGGCATGTTACCAGGAGGTCTGCTGGGTAGCAGTCAGAGTGGCCATTCACATGCACTAATAAGGCACATTTGAACCCAAAAAGCTACTGTGCTTTCAGCAACCCTGTGGCTATTATTAAATATAATTTTTGTTAGTAACTAAATTCAAGTTATTGCTCTTAATTGGGCAGTGGAATTAGCAATTCAAGAACCCAAATATGGGGGCACCTGGGTGGCTTGGTCCGCTGAGCATCTGACATCGGCTCAGGTCATGATCTTATGGTTCGTGTGTTTGAGCCCCACATCAGGCTCACTGCTATGAGCCTGTCAGCACAGAACCCACTTTGGATCCTCTGTCTCCCTCTCTTTCTGCCCCTCCCCGACTCACGCTCTCTCAAAAAATAAATAAAACTTAAAAAAAAGAATCTAAATATGATTTTCCTGTGAGAACTGGCATGTAGGCCTTAAAAAAAAGGAAATGTTTCCACTATGGAAGTTGGTATGTAGATGTGGCATTGTCTGCAGTTCTGAGGTAATATATTCTGAAAACAATGCATGACTTTTCTGAAAGTACTAACAGATTTCAAGAAGATAGCTTTTATTTTCCCACTTATTGTTAATCAACTTTGATGAGGTATGTTGCTATTCTGGGTTGAGTATTGTCCCAAAAGTAGTATCCCCCCAAAAATTTATATCTACCCAAAACCCCAGAATATGACCTTATTTGGAAATAAGGTCCTTGTAGGCATAATCAAGTTAAAGTGAAATGGGTCTTAACCCAATGGTTGGTGTCCTTTTAAGAAGAGGTAAGTTTGGACACAGAGACACAGAAAGGAAAATGCCAGGTATCAATGGAGCAGAATGGAGTTATGTGGCCATCAGCTAAGGAATCCCTAGGATTGACTATGGACACCAGAGCTGTAAGAGCCAAGGAAAGATCCTTCCCTACAGCATTCAGAGAGAGTGGGGTCCTACAACACTTTGCTTCGGAACCTCAAGCCTCCGGAACTATGAAAGAATAAATTTCTGTTGCTTTAAGCCACTCAGTTGGTGGTCCTTTGTTATGGCAGCCTTAGCGAATATAATTACATAAAATAATAAGCACCAGTTTTAAGTGTACAGTCCAATGAGTTTTGACAAATATATACACCATGTAATCCCTACCAAAATAAAGATATAGAATATCCTCAGGAGCCTAAAGAGTTCCCCTTTGTCCCTTCTAAAGCTACCCCTCCAAAGCCCCCCGGACACACACCCAGCCTCCGAAAACTTCTGGCTGCATTCATGTCATTAGGTCTATTCTAGAATGTTATATCAATGGAATCACATAGTGTGTACTTTTTTCTGTCTAGCTTCTTTCATTCAGCCCAGTGGTTTGGAGGTCCATCCCTATTGCATGTCGCAGTATTTTGTTCCTTTTTGTTGCTGAGTAGCATTCCATTGCATGGAAATACTACAATTTGCCTATCTATTCACCTGTTGGTAGACAATTTTGGTTCTTCCTGTCTGGACTATTATGAATAAAGCTGCTATAAATATTTGAACAAAAATTTTTGGGGTGTACATGTGTTTTCATTTCTCTTAGGAAATTCAGATGTCTAGGAATCGAGGAAGATATTTCCTAGATCTCTAGGAAAATAAAATCATATGGGTCATATGGTACTTCCATGTTTAATTTTATAAGAAACTGGTGAACTGTTTTCCAAAATGGATGTACTATTTTATATTGCCATCAGCAATGTCTGAGAGTTCTGGTTGTTCACCTCCTTATAGATACTTGATATTGCCAGCCTCTTTAATTTGAGCCATTCCATTGGATATGTAATGGTATATCACTGTGGTTTTAATATTCATGTTTTGATGGTTGAATATCTTTTATGTGCCATTTGCACATCTTCTGTTTTGAAGTCCTTGTCCAATCTTTTCCTCATTTATTTAATTGGGCTGTCTATCTTTTTTTATTGAGTTGTGAGTGTTCTTGATAAATTCTGCATCAAGTACTTTGTCAGAGATATATGTACAGATGGTCCCTGATTTACAATGGTTTGACTTACAGGTTTTTGGCTTTACTATGGTGTAACATGACAACAACTGACACATGGGCAACCATTCTGTATCCATAACACCATTCTGTTCTTCACTTTCAGTGTTTCAATACATTACATGAAATAGTCAATGCTCTAGTATAAAACGGGTTTTGTGTGAGATGATTTTTCTCAACTATAGGTGAATGTAAGTGTTCTGAGCTTGTTTAAGGCAGGCTAGTCTAAGCTATGATGTTGGGTAGGCTAAATATATCACATAAATTTTCAACTTAAGATATTTTCAGTTATTGGGACATAACCCCATCATAAATCAAGAAAGATCTGTACTGGGATACTTTCTCAACATCTGGCTTTCCCTTTATTTTCTTAATTGTGTATTTCAAAAATCAAAAGATTTAAATTTTGATAAAACTAATTTATCAATGCTTTTCATTTATTGTTTATGCATTTCATGTTCTGTGAGATAATAGAAAAAACATATATATTGATCATTATTCTCAGTTCCCGGCACAAAGCTTCTGAAACGCTTGGAATTTCCTAAGTAATAAGAGCACTGGGAGGATCTTTTGTTGTAATATTTAGTCTTCGCTTCCAGTTTCTTTCACAGAACTCCTGAAGCCCTTGTAATTTCCTGGGTGATAAGAGTGTCTTTTGCTCTAATGTGGTATCTCTGAGTAGGCTCCTGGACAGCTCCTGGGTAAGTGTTGGTTACCAGAAGACCAAGCCACCATTAGAAGTGAGGAATTTTCAACCCCACGCCTTTTTATCTTAAGAAGGAAGAGGGGCGTCTGGGTGGCGCAGTCGGTTAAGCGTCCGACTTCAGCCAGGTCACCATCTCGCGGTCCGTGAGTTCGAGCCCCGCGTCGGGCTCTGGGCTGATGGCTCGGAGCCTGGAGCCTGTTTCCGATTCTGTGTCTCCCTCTCTTTCTGCCCCTCCCCCGTTCATGCTCTGTCTCTGTCCCAAAAAATAAAAAATAAAAATAAAAAACGTTAAAAAAAAATAAAAATAAAAGAAGGAAGAAAGGCTGAAATGGAATTAATGATTGATCCCACCTGGTGATGAAGCCTCCATAAAAATCACAAAAGTACAGGGTTTAGAAAGCTTCTGGGTACACGTGGAGGTGCTGGAGAGGCGAGTAGCTGGAGTGAGAATCTCTGTGCCCCTTCCCAAGTACCTTGCCCTATGCATCTCTTCTGTTTAAATGTTCATCTGTATGTATCCTTTATATCCTTTTATAATAAACCAGTACACATCAATAAATTGTTTTCCTGAGTTCTGTGTGCTGCTCTAGAAAATTAATTGAAGCAGGAGAGGGTTGTTGGGACCTCTAGCTTCTAGCCAGTCAGAAGCACAGTTGACAGTCTGGACTTGTGACTTCCACCTGATGAGGATGAGAGTGAGGGTGGTCTTGTGGGACTAAGCCCTTAACCTGGAGATCTGGTGCTATCTCCAAGTAGATGGTGTCAGAATTGAGTCAAATTGTAGGACACTCAGCTGGTGTCATGCAGAATTTCTTGGTATGGCATAAACCCACATCCATGTGGTGAACAGAAGTGTCAGAAGTATTATGTGTAAAAATAAAGGAGAGACACACAAGAGGTAGGTACTGAGGTTTTGTCTAATTCAAGAGGGGAAAATTAGGTAGTGTTCTCTTTTTTTATGTTTTTTTATTTTTGAGAGAAAGAACATGCATGTGAGTGGGGGAGGGGCAGAGAAAGAGGGGGACCGAAGATCCGAAGCAGGCTCCCTGCTGTCACCAAGCCCAAGGTGGCCCTAGAACACAAGATCCTGAACCTGAGCCCAAGTTGGATACTGACTGAGCCACCCAGGCACACACACACCCCACCTCCAGTAGTGTTTCTAATACATGTCCTAAGAAAATTTTTCTACCCCAAGGCTATTTAGCCCTGTTTTCTTCTAAAAGTTTCATAGTTTTAGCTTTATATTTATTTCTTTGATCCACTTAAATATATTTTTTATGTGTGGTATGAGTTATGTTCAAGATTTGCTTTTTTTCCATATGGATATTCAATTCTTAAAGCAACACTTATCTTAAAAATATACTTTCTTCATTAAATAACCTTGATACCTTTGTTAAGAAATCAATCCACTACATATGTGTAGGCCATTTTGGACTCTCTATTCTGTGTCAGTGGTCAGGATATCTTTCTTCTTTTTTTTTTTTTTTTTAATGTAATTGGTCTTGACAATGAACATGTTAAAATGACTCTCCTTTATTTGTATGCTCATCAATTCTACAAATATTTAAGAACCACCTTATATTCAAGGCATTATATCAGACTCTATGAAGTATGTAAACCTGATTAAGATGATATCACAGTTCTTGAGAATGGTATACTTTTAGAACAGAGTCCAGAACACAGGTATTGATGAGTATATTTATGTGGGGTTGGGGCTGGTGGTGTTAGGAAACGGGTTTATGATCCATTGAAACTTTATTCACAATCTGGTATATGAGTACCTGAGTGCCTTTTGTTAGATTTTTAAAGAAGTGGGGTAAACTGTACCCAGAAGAACAACCTATCCTGAAATAAATCTACTGCAAAGCATCAAAAAAATGTTGCTGTCATGTCTCTCAAGAAGCATAATGGCAGAATTAGGAAGAGCAGAATTATGAATGGCAGAAAACCAGTCAATGTGGTTTTTTTTCTTTAAAAAAATCAGTTCACTGACTAATATATATATATATGTGTATATATATACGTATATATATACACATATATATATATATTTGCGATTTTATGGACTTTAAACAAAATTTTTTCACTTATAGACAGGTAATCTGATTTCATTTCTTTTAGATAATTCTATAGATGAGAAGTTTCTAGTCAATGTACACACTTACCTGTCTTCTCTGGCTCATGACACATTTTTTCTGAGCTAATCTTATGTTGACATATTTCTGAAACGTAAAAGGAAATCAACCTAAATTCTCATGTCAAAAACAAACCCACAATATGGGTACTTAATTGATGTCGAGAGCAAATTAGCAGTAACAAGTTCAACATTATTTACCTAAGAAACAAAAAGCATAGAAGCTCCAGTGCAAGACAGCAGTCTCTCTTTCATCTCATTGTGGTGCAGATCAAAACAGGGTATCATTAGGGACTAATTTGCCACAGGACACACATGAGTGGAACAAACACCTACATGCTTGTGGAAATATCTACATAAAAATACTAGTATGGGAGAGAATAGAAAGTTTATTCTATGAGAGAAAAATAACGTAGAATTAGGTAGTTATTCTGGCTTCTGTGCCTAAATGGTATTGACTATCCTCCGGTTAAAATCTCCTTTTCCGTATTCTTCTCACAAGGCACTATTTCCGTTTTCTGACAATTACATTAAGCAGTATTATAAATCTTGTGTTTCCCTACCTGTTAAACTGGGTGCCATCCCTGTTCTACTGCCTCAAAATGATGTTCGTCTTTCCACTAGTTAATGTATAGAATCTATATAATTTTGGAGTGTATCTGGCATGAGGAAGGTCCTAAACCATACCTTTGTAACTGAGATATCCTTCCTTGTCTATGGAGGAATTCTTAGAGATTACAAAGAAAATAAAATGTGTCTTCTGAGAACAAATATTACCTAATTTATGGGGACGTTTTCTTACTACTCTTCCTTCTTCTAATAACATTCCTCTTTCTACTTCTGCACCTTCTGATACCACGTGATGAGATGTATATCTGTTTTGAAGTGGCAAGACAGGGTTTGGAAACATGATAATAATTTGGGCTGAAGTGAGAGGGCTCCTAATGTAGCAATTCAGTTTTGTTTCTGTGTTAATGAAGACTTTTGATATGGGTGTGAGCTCTCACTCTATGAACGTCCCTACATGAGGGTAATAATTACAATACTCCAAAATAACTACAATTGATTGTTTTGTGATGCCTATAAGTAGTCCCAAGGCTCCCAAGGGCCATTACAACCCTAAGTCCTTGTGTTATTAAGAGAAATTAATCAAAACATTCACCCACGGTCAGTTCTGAATATAGTTAAACATTTTATTTCTCCCTAAATACATGAATAAGGTTTTTTTTTTTTTGAGAAGAAAAAAATGCATATGCATATGACCTAAGTATATTCTATATATAGAAAAAACTTCACTGATTGAAACCACTGGGAAGAAACCATCGTGATTAGTATAAAACCAAAGCAGTTATGTAATGTTTTAAAAAAAAGTGAAGGTTAATGACTTTTAAGTAAATATAGTAACTTGAAGAAGTTTAACAAATTGTTGTCAAGCAGAATTCTTTGATGATCGGCCTAATGAATGGATAATAAATAGACTACTTTCAAAGGAGCACAGCAATTATATGTATGTTAATGGTACTTCTACTGTCCTTTAAATCAGCCAGTCCTACAAAATAGGCTAAACATTTGCCCTACAATCTTAATTGTACAATTAATTTGCTTAGATATCATTTGATTTTAAACGCACACATAGCATAAAAGTGAATTCTGTATAATTTAAATAAATTCTCTACACCAATACCCAATAGTTCCAGGTTTCATAATGGTCAGAATTAAAGAGGTTCATGGTGATTCGGACTATTGTTGATATTTCCACATAAGTTGTATGAAGACAGTTTCTATAGATAGTTGTCAATCTGGAAAAGATGACAAAGTTTCACCCTTTCAGAGCTACCATTTCTTTGGAATACACATTTTTACATGTGGCAAAATAACAAATTAAATTGACAGCTAAGATAGCAGAGTAGAATTCAGGTTTGGAAACAGGCAGACACCAGCATAGTACCAAGAAGCTCTGAGATCATAAGCCAGGTATTTGACTTCCATAAGCCTTAGTTTCCTCATCTACAATATGGAAACCACCATGCAGAAATGTTTACACAGGATGAAAAGAGATGATTATAAAGCTCCTAGCATGATAAGTAGCAGCTAATAGATAGTAAATGATAGCTAGTGCTCTTAAATTTTTGGTTTTGTGGTTGTACTATGGAATAAGAAAAAACAAAAACAAACAAAAGAAAAAGAACTCTGATGCCAAAGTTCTTCCAGCCATGAAGACATGAAGCCATGCCTTCCCAGCCATGCAGAGGCATTGAACACTTCTAACATGCAATTCTAACATTTGCTCTAAAATAGGAGCCTGTTTCCGATTCTGTGTCTCCCTCTCTCTCTGCCCCTCCCCCGTTCATGCTCTGTCTCTCTCTGTCCCAAAAATAAATAAATGTTGAAAAAAAATAAATAAATAAAAATTAAAAAAAATAATAATAAAATAGGAAAGAAATTATGTGGAATGTACAAATTTGTCAAGCCACGCACATGAATAAAAATGAAAATTTTATGCAAGTTATTAGAAAAATAATACATGAAATGGCTGAGAAACTGCAGAGTGGCCAGGCCTGAACAAACTCCCCAACCTCGAAGCCAGTCAGATTTCAGAAGATAGTAACAAGCACTATCTTGTTGTCATCTTTATCTCTGAGCTGATTTACTCAAACAAAATTCACATCATTTGGCTACATGAATGTCTGAAATGAATAAAATTTATTAGCGCTGAGGAGAAATGCCATCTTTTTGTATATAAAATATAATATCCTCTCTTGACCAATAAAACACCAACCCAAGATAAATTTATTAGGAAACCACCATTTTAGCACATGCTATTTATCACGAGTTAGTTTATTCTCACATCATATCTCTCTGTGTTTAAATGTGATATAATAGAAAATGCTTTCATTAATCCCTTCTGACATACTCCAGTAAAATTCCCAAGGTCTTAGAAACACAGAGAGAAAAGTGGTAGTTTGGAACTCATTCTCAGATCTATCCTTGGATCATCCTTTAGAGATAATGTCAGGGAAATGGAACATTTGTGCAGGATAATGGTTACCTCCTGTTACAGTAATACTGAAGTAGAGAATTTTTTCAAATCAAAAAAGGGAAAGTAGTGATGTTTATTTTCAAAGTGGAGATCATGTTTGTCTAGAATATTCTCTCTACCACTCACACTTCATTTCTTTTTCATAAATTCCATGGATAGTTGAACAAAAAAGTTTTCTCTTCCAACTTGATCTCTTGGAATCACCATTTGTTTGATTCATGAAGGAGTTAATCAAATTTGGTACAACACTGAGGAATATAATTACACCTGAAATTTACCTTAAGGCTTGGTCCACGGTTTAGACATATGTGATGATCTTTTTCATGTATCAGCCTGGCTAGGCTGCAGTCCCCAGTCATTCAGCCCCCACTCATTCAACTGAGCACTAATCCAGGGATTGCTGTAAAGGTATTCTGTAGATAGGATTACACTCTCTTAAGGGTGATCCTGACTCAATCAATTGAAAAGTCTTAAAAGCCAAGCTGAGGCCTCTCTGAAAAGGAAACAAATTGGGCCTGTGGACAGCACCTTCAACCTGTGCCTGAGAATTCCAGCCTGTTCTTGATGGCCTAACCTACTAATTTCCAACTTGCCCAGCCAGCCCACAGTCGTGTAAGCCAATTCATTGCAATAAATCTCTTAATATATATCTCCTACTGATTCTGCTTCTCTGATTGAACCCTGACTGATCCCATATCTTTTTTAAAAATCCCTATTTAAAAATCAAACTTGAGGTTGGTCCAGTTTATTACACTAATATGGGGCCTGAAGTATAAAAAACCGCTTATTTAGCATACATTGAAAAAAAAATCTTAGAAATGATTGATTACCTGCAATCTGCTGAATATTTAAATCTATTAAATTCAGGGGCGCCTGGGTGGCGCAGTCGGTTAAGCGTCTGACTTCAGCCAGGTCACGATCTCGCGGTCCGTGAGTTCGAGCCCCGCGTCAGGCTCTGGGCTGATGGCTCGGAGCCTGGAGCCTGTTTCCGATTCTGTGTCTCCCTCTCTCTCTGCCCCTCCCCCGTTCATGCTCTGTCTCTCTCTGTCCCAAAAATAAAAAAATTAAAAAATTAAAAAAAATCTATTAAATTCAGTATTTCTGAATCCAGCCAACTAATATATTTCTCTAATTATGGGAAAAATGTGACCTTATGAAGATAGATGAAAACTTCTTTTTTTAACCACGGTTATGTCTGTTAATGCCTAGGAGATAGTAACCTGATACATAAACTTTCTAACTATGTGGTTGTTATAACCCTCTGATTTGACCAAAATATTGAGGTTTAAGCTCAGACTCCATTATTTGATACCCTTTGGTAGCATGAATAGATCAGTTAATAAATGTGGGGTGTATTTATAATTGTAAACTGACAAAAGAAATTCAGGTGACCCATTGGCACTGACATACTAGGCTTCCTTTAGGCAGGACCGGTTCCAGTATTTACAAATCATTCTAATTTCTGTAATTATTAGCTTGAAGCCAGAAGGGAACAGTACAAGAGTTTTTGAATTTTTAAAAATCAACACTAAATTTCCATGGCTGATTTTCTTTCTGATTGTAGCAAGACATCCCCCCAAGAATGAAAGCGTATTACACTTCTCCTATCTGACAAAGCTCATCTGTCCACTATGGCCCCACAAGGTAAGCAGCTCTTTAGATGGTCCCATTAATACTGATGGTCTGTGTCTATGTAAACAAGTGTATTTTCCTTCGTTTTCACCCCTCATCTAGAATTTTGCCAGTGAACTTTTTTACTCTCTTTCATTTTGTTACTTAAATCTTGAGAACCTGGCTTGTTTGAATGTTGCACCTGCAGCTCCTTGAAAGCGAATGTTTCAAATGTTAAAGGAGATTGATGAAACTGGAATAGGCAATTCAGGCTTGAAAACATAAAAAGAGGCCAAAGAAGTAGAGAGAATATGCCAATTGCCTTCCTACCTCATTAGTATTTCTTGTCTGTTGAAGGCAAATAGTAGCTAAACTCTGAAGCAAGGTGGAACAAGCAGAAAATTAGATTTCTGTTACTGTTTCTTCCATCAACACTAATTACATGTCGATTCAAAAATAAGACATATTTTAATTGGTCTTTAGAGACTATAAGGAAACTAAAGCATATTTACTTTTAATAAGTAATTTTAATTTTCTTACATTACAATTCATTGCAGAGACCAAAGCTTAGCTAACTTTGTTGAAATTCATAGATTTAGAGAAAGAGAGCCTCTTAAGCAAATATATACCTGTCAGAGAATATTGGGTTATAAGCAAAAGAAACACACACCATCATAAGCAAAAAGATGTCTTCATTATAAGGGTATTCAAATACATCAGGGATCCCAGGTACATCATAAAACCCAGAAGCAGAAGGAGTCCAGAGCCTAGCCAATCTCTGTCACCAGGTAGAGCTGATGGAATTACTATTCTGTCTTGCTCTACGTGTCTTCTTTCCTTCATCAGCAGAGCACCATTCCTTGTGTCTACATGTGTGACATGATCATCATTGTCTTGCTTTACACAACCTTTCAGTTTAAAATGCCAACAGATTCTAGCCAGAATCTCTGAATCCCAATTTTAAATTGCTTTGTAAATAAATTATCTGATGGGCCCACTTTGGGTCCAAATCCACCTCTAGTTGAGTCCACTTCAATGTGTAGGTTTGGCTGGAAAGGGCAGGGGCCATGACTCAGGATTTTCCAAGAATAAACCACAGAAAAGAATGTGGAAAGAGTAGTTTTCAGAGAAAAACATGCGAGCTAGCTGGGTAACCCAAAAGATTCTATCCAATAGAAGTATGAATAAAACCATAATCACTGAATTTGGGAAACCATATGGCCTGCTCTCCTAAGAAATTTATAATTTACACCTGTTGCTCTAGCATAATGATAAATAATATTCTCTTTCACTCAATACTACCACAGTTTGGGTGATAAACATAGGTGTAGCAGATATTTACCAAATCAAATAAATCCCTCTTTATTAGAAGAGAATGATATTGTTGATAAACTGGTTAAGTAGACCAATATGTAACATGACTCCTTCCCATTGCAACTGTATTTAAATAAATCATTAAATACATAAAGTGATCTTATAGCAGTGACTTGAAAGTCAGTAGAGCTGCCATAAATGACACTGAGAAATATGTAAGAGTTACAGAAATATGAGGTTTCAGAGAGAAAATGGACTCCAACTATCAGAATACTTAGGAGAGAAATCTCACTGTGAAGAATCTGTTGACATCAAGGCCTGCTGTCCTTTCTGGGCCTGGGCATCCTGCAGAGGCTCTTGGGAGAAGTGGTCAAGCAGCTGGTGAGAAACATGAGCATGTTCACCTCTACTGAGTGGAGAAAAAATGTTTCAAATGCACTTATTTCACCTGATCCATTCATTTCTACAATGGTGTTTATGAGACTTTCTTATAAATTCACAGAGCTATTCAGTTCCCCCAATATATATGGGACTCGCAGGAGTTCTTTCTTGCATTTTTTCCTAATTACAGAATATACTCTGCCACCAATTGAATTGCTCACGTTAAGAAGTTCAACCATCTTCTTTACTGAAAGCAATCTTTCCTTCAAAAGGTATTGAGTCATCACGAATAACAGTGAAGTCGCAGCATTTAGTACTAAATGTTAAAGTGAGTAATTTGGGCTCAATTTGTTTTCAATACAAAGAAATAAAAAAATTGCACAGGTTCGCTACAAATTTACATTTTGATTCCAGCATAGATGTCAAATAAGAATTATTCTGGACCCCTTGAGCTGGGTGTCACTGCTGTCTGATGAGAAGAGAAGTCCTAGTTAGGTTTATGTTTGTGTGTACTTAGCAAACAGAAATAAACTTTCAATAATTAAAGGTAATGAATACATGCAGTCACTCTGAGACACACAGAGGGAAAGGAGGGAGAGAATCTTAAGCAGGCTCCATCTCATGACCTCCTGAAATCACTACCTGAGCCAAAATCAAGAGTTGGTCGCTTAACCAGAGCAGCCACCCAGATGTCCCAACTCTGCATTCTTAAGTCAGTTTAGACAAGAGATCCTAGGAGGACATTAGTACTGATTATCATAGCATAATTAGTCTTTGGGAAGTCCTAGGGAACTCGTCCTGACCATTGTCCTCAAAACTGTCTTATGTCATTATTTTCTTTCTCCTTTTATGTGCTCAGTCTCCAACTTTCTTCTGTCTTTGTTAGTCTCCTTGAGAGGAAACAAGGGGCTACATTTCCATGGTCAGAAGCCATAGACTTAGAAAGACTTCTCTACAACGTATGTGGATGAGAAAACTGCTAGAGTAGAAACATACCACACTTGGAAAGAGCTCTGTGTGTGACTCAGAACTCTTGGCTCCAAGTGACATCAACTTAAATTGTTACATAGAAGAGAAAATATATTTGAAGGATTTATATGTAATATACTAGAGGTATGTTTTGTGACAGCACGGTTAGTTACCTCAACATCTGCTGAAATCCAGGACTTAACTGCTGAAAAATTCTCATCTCTTTTGTCTCCACAGATCAACCTTATATTCTCATGTTGCAAACTGGTTTCCTTCATGTGCTAGAGAATATGATGACTGACAGTTCCCAAATATGACTTCCCACAGTGCTCATCACCTGAGAGGAACTGATTTATATTCTCTCCATCTTCCCAAGCTCAAATATTCCAAGGAGCAACTATGACTGGTCCTATTGTATCAGATACTTACCTTTGCACCATCAACAATGGCCTAATATGAAAGCTGCAAGATTGCAGCATCCACCATTTTGTCCACCATGATTGGGTTAGAAGATGAGACACTGGGAATATTTACTCAAAAAATGCTCTGCTGGTCTTTGGCAGGTGCACTGAACAAACACAATTATACAAGGCCCTATAGCACAGAAAAATTAAAAATAATCTTGAAATTCAAGTCAAAGTTAGAAAATAAGAGAACATATCACCAATTCCTGAGTGAAATGTGTGATAGAGCCTAATGCATTCATTCACTGGCCTGGAAAACTGGAGATAAGCATCTCTGGAGTCAGTAGGATGGAAGAATAGGTTAGCTTAGAGGTTTTGAAGATTCTCCAAGTGACAGACAATGTCAAAACAGACACTTAAGGCCCCACTCAGCACATGCATTCCTTGGTTTTTCCTATTAAAATCATTCTTGTGAACAAATGAATCAATAAGAAATGTATTTCAGGCATAAAGTGTTCTTCCGACATAAAAATTGATACTAGCCTATGTAGGTACAAATACTTGAACATATAAATGGGAGGTACCATCCATGATCCTCTGCTCTCCAGGGCATCCCACCGTCATAAGTAGTTATTTGCAGGTTCTACAACAAAATTTATCTTAATATTCCTCTCTCCCCTTACTACCTCCAAGACTCTCTCTCTCTCTCCTCTTCCAGACAAACAGAATGTTTGTCTGAATTGCAAATGGTAGGATTTTAGGCACTGTAGGTGG